TCAAGTTTGGATTTCTTTGAGAAGGATCGATTTGTATGGGTCTGGGCCACCTGGTGTCTTTGATCCTTCCGATGGCCGATACGATGCCCGATGCATCGACACTGAAATTATACTCCGATAACCGAGGTGCTTCCGCGGGATCGGTGTGTTTATCAAAACCATTCTTACTCATAAGTCCCCGAGAGTTTTGACCTCGATCATTTCTTCTATCGTTCCGAGGAGGGTTATGCCCCGAACCGTTATTTCTCCGATCCGCGACATATGGCTGATACCGTTCCTTGTTTGATCTTGGTTCCCCATCCGTATACCTCGAGGCCTTAACTACCAATCTATTTGGATGAACCGAACCCGAGGGGGCTCTCAATCGGTCGTCCTCGACCCTGATCTTCGATTGGTAACGATTATGCACATCTGCCCAAGTTACAGCTGGGTACTCGATCAGATTTTGCTTCAACTGTCGTGATGCGATCGAACTCCGCTCGTTCAACCCCTGTGTAAAAGCTTGCACGGCCTAATCATTCGAGACCGGCGGTGGTAATTCTATTCGCTCCATTTGAAATCGGGACGAACTCCCTTAGCATCTCATCATTCCTCTATCTTATCTTTAAAACGTCTGATTTCCTTTTCGCAACCTTTATGGCCCCAGTGTGTGCCTATACGAAGGCGTCTAGCATAGCAAACGAATCGATAGAATTCGGTGGCAAGTTGTGATACCAAATCATTGCTCCTTTTGACAAAGTTTCCCCAAATTTTTTCAACGAAACCGACTCGATCCCATCATCATTTAAGTCGTTTCCTTTAATCCCGCAAGTATACGAGGTAATGTGTTCATTAGGATCGCCCGTTCCGTTGTACTTAGGTATATCGGCCATACAGAACTTTTTAGAATAGGCTTCGGAGCCGCGCTCGGAGGGAATGGCTTTTGTACGAATTTCTTGGCATCCAAACCTTTTAAGACCGGGGGTGCTCCCGGTGTTTGATCAACACGGGAGTTATACGTCTCCACCTTTTTGTCATTATCCTCAATCTTTTTCTCCCCCGACTCGATTCTTTTGGTGAGTTCTTCGAGAATCCTCATAATTGTGGGGTTATTCCCCAAGCCATTACCGTTTGATCTTTCAGGCGTCGGCTCAGTACGGCGAGTGATTTCTGGCTCGACCATACTTGGAGTTTTATGGTGACTTTGAAGCTGAGCGATAACAACTTGTTGAGCTTGTAGCATCTGGAATATTACTTGGAGGTTAACTCCCCATCTCCTATACCCTGCGTTCCTTGGCCACCAGATCGGACTTCCCTGCGTACACTTCCTCTGGGTCCTGCGCCTAAATCCGCATTCAAACCAATGTGTGAACTAACATCGACTGGTTCCACATTTGGCACTTCCCCAAGGTTAATCGGTGGTACACCACTCCCGGAGCAGCTACATTGTTGTTTTCCCCATGAAATCCAAGACCATCATCGCCGTGTACGCATGCGTTTTGTGAGTTTGAATGTTTTAACCCGAGAACAAAAATTCTTGACAAGAACAAATGTGAAAATAACGTGTGTTACCAGAATCAGTACTGAAATAATCGCTATTATCTTCAGCCCCACGGTGGGCGCCAAACTGTTTACCTCGAAAATACGAGTAACAATTAAACTTATTTGTGGTTTTAAAGATACGTGATCTAATTCAATACTAATTAATAACCAAGAAATTAAACGTATAAATTAGAGAAGAGAATTGAATCAAACCAGTGTTTAAGCCAATCTTGACCTCGAGCTAGACGGCCTCGAGGTAGGTCGACAAGAACAGTAAAGTAAAGATAATAAAGTTAAGAGACAATTCTGATGAGTAATGAACAAGAAAGTAAGAGAGTATATTCTTTTGCCAATGATTGATGATGGGTTACAAATAATTGGGGTCGCCTTTATATAGTAGGGGAACCCTAAAATAAGGTACATTTCTATTTCAGTAAGGAATCTTATTGGGACAACTGTCTAACCGCCTAGTACGGATTCGTACTAACTCGTACAAATCTGTTCTGGAATTTACGCCATGATCTTGGGGATATGGCAGGAATCTTGCTCTTTCTGTTACAAACCCATAAAGGCATCATCTCGGGGTTGGTCATACTCTGCTTCGGTGCTCATCGCGTACTTTCTTCGAGCCTTATATTCTGCCCTCGGGCTCGAACCCGGCCCATATCGAGTTTGTTCCTCGATGCGAGCCCTCGAGCTTACAAAATCGGGGACACATGATTTTACCGTATACACCCGCGACCGCCGAAACCTGGGTCGGCCTCTGTAGCCAAGAGCCATGGAGCAAAATCAGGAAAAGTTCTATTTAGAATGATTCATATTACAATACATTTCGTTCCTTTCTAAAAAAACTTTTTGGCATGTAGCGACTGACAGGTGTGTGGTTTAGTTACTTCTTAAACCATTAAATGGTTAAAAGTGACAAAGTTCTTGATCCCTTTCTATTGCATTTCATAGACGTCCTAACATGGTCTAAACTCTGAATTTTGGTTTCTTTTACTTTCTCCAAGCTAGATATCAGGTAAAATATTCATTTGACAGAAAAAGATACCAACTTCACGAGTAAAATGGAAATAGTAGTAATCAAAACACCCGAGTTTAGGTAGGAGTGTCAATGGATATTTAAAAACCGACTAAATCGATCGAACCGTACCGTATGGAACCGATTTTTAGGTTTCTTTTAATAAAACCGTAGATTTTTGTATAAATCTATAACCGTACCGATAATTAGTGTAGGTTTTTTAATTTATGAAAATAAACTTTAAAAATAGCGAACCGTACCAAATAAATTTACAACGTGAAAAATATATTTATATTTTAAGTTTAAAAAGGAAAAAATTCAAAAATAGCCAGATTTACAAGTGGTCAATTAAAAATGGCCACAGTTTTAAAAGTAAACAAAATTTAGCCACTTTTCATGTAAAGATAATTCTGAACGAAAACACTGTTCAAAATCCGGAAAATACTCCAGTATAATATACTGGAACTCCAATATAATATACTGGAGTTCCAGTATAATATATTGGACTTCCAGCATATTATTCTGGCGCTCTAGTATAATATATCGGTCCAGCATAATATATTAGAAATTCATACACATATGCTCTAATCTCCAGTATATTATGCTGGAACTTTCGGCGTGTTGGAGTTCCAGCATAATATGCTGGAAGTTCATACACGGGAGCATCGATCTTCAGTATATTATGCTAGAACTTTCCGTGTTGCAGCAAAATAGTGGCTATTTTTCAATGACTTTGCAAATGCTGGCTATTTTTGAATGACCAGTCCAAAAACTGGCTAGCCCGTGCTATTTTTACGTTTAAAAATAAGAAAACATTAATGTTTTTCTTGGGCCTTGGAATTATGAAACAGTTACAAGCTAACGGGTAATTAAACTCAAGATTCTAATTTCCAAACCTCTTATGTTACTCCTATTGAAACTAAATCATTTCCAGTATATTCACTATAGCAAGACACAAGGTATTGTAGCGATTATGAGTAGCAACCTATAATGTATTGAATATGTTTCCTTTCGTATGATTTAGATTTATCTTTTTGAAATGTTAAATCTTCTATAGATTTTATTCTTGGATCCCAACTTGAATAATATCTTTCCATTCGTGTGATTTATATTTTTTTTTTGTATTTGCTTAGTTTCGTTTACGCTGCTATAGAATATTTGATGAATCTATACTCTTGCCATCTTTCATATTTTCTTTTTTCATCACCTTTTAAACTATAAAAATATTTAGAGAGCTCTATTAAATCCTATAAAAGTATGTATGTTATTGCATTCTACTTCTACTAGTGACTTTTACGTGACATTTTAAAAAATTACAGAAAATTTACCGAACCGTACCGATCCGAAGAGAAACCGACATGATTGGGACAGTTTCGAAAAGTCTAATTTTGATAATACATAATAGAATAACCGAAAAATTGGTATAGTACAAAATTTATAAGATAATCGACCGAACCGAACCATTGACACCCCTAAGTTTAGGAACTTGAGAGACCTAAGTTACTTGTTAATTTATATAGATTGATAATGTAAATTTAAAAAGTATTTTGCATTCACTATAATATACTTTAACTCGTTGTGGCAGATAATGTGTCTTATTTTTTAAGTTACTAATTTTCTTTTATTACTATCATTGTATAAAAGTAGTTGAACACTTACTTTAATGGGCCTAATGTACGTTACACAAAATTTTGGAAAAAGAGAAGGAAAACTAATAGCTGGCCGACGTAAAAATAGCACGATCTAGCCAGTTTTCGGACTGGTCATTTTAAAATAGCCAGCGTTTATCAAGTCAATGAAAAATAACCACTATTTTGCTGCAACAGAGACCGGTCCAGCATAATATACTGGAGTTCGGTGCACCTGTGTATGAACTTCCAGCATATTATGCTGGAACTCCAACACACGGAAAGTTCCAGCATAATATACTGGAGATTCGAGCACTTGTGTATGAACTTCCAGCATATTATACTGGACCGGTATACTTTGCTGGAACTCCAGTATATTATGCTGGAGATCTAGTGTACTTATGCTGGAACTCCATCATATTATGCTGGAGTTCCAGCATACTTATCCTAGAACTCCAGTATAATATGCTGGAGTTCAAGTATACTTATGCTGAAACTCCAGCATAATATACTGGCGTATTTTTCGAGTTTTGAACAATGTTTTCGCTCAGATTTATCTTTAGATGAAAAGTGGCTAGATTTCGATTACTTTTGAAACTGGGCTATTTTTGAACGACCATAAATCTAACAATGTATTATTTTATATTATCAAGTCACCTAAAAAATAATTATCGATAATCATTAGAAGTTGTAATTATATAAAAAATAAGGTAGGTTACCTACTACCGTATATTAGAACGTACTTATAGTTAGAAATTTCTTACATTGTTAGCTTGTACATGAGTTAAAATCCAAAAAGGAAAAGAAGATATTCTAAAACTGACAAAGCATTACCACGGTTTAAAAGATATTTATATCATTAACAAAAGGGATACATGCTTACACTTTAGTTTTTAGTCCCTCTGCAACAATATTAGTAGAACTAAAACTTTAATACATACTTTGATTATCATACTAGTATCTTTTTCTATGCAACCATAATACATCTTTTACAACTTTCTATTCTTAGCATTTAAATCTATCAACACTGACCAACATCATTACTTGGCAATGACTGAGGTTTGCCTTCCAACAGGCAAAAAACTGGTGGAATTGTAAAACTCCTAAGATCTCCATATGCATTCCAACAATATGGTTCTATAATTTTCTGTCCTTGAGCTGGATATAATTCCACATCTACAAAAGTCAAATTTGTGCATGGGACGCTGTCACTACAAGCCAAACGCATTGGTGGACTTCTCACATCATAAGTTCCTTTTATGTTTGAATAAATCACATCAGAAATATACACTGCTGATGTTTGATTTGCACAGCTCTTGTTGTTGTTGTTGCAGTAGTATTGATCTAATATTATCGGATTTCGGACATTTTCCATTTTAATGTTGTTGAAAGTAACCTTTGATACTGCACCAAATCCACCTTGCCATGTCTTGATCCTAACACCATTGTCTGAATGCTTAATAGTTGAATCTGTAACTGTAATGTTCGATACACATGCCCGCGAATTGCGAATGCCTAGGCTGCCAATACTGAAAATTATGCAAAGACAGTCTTTATTTTCAAGGCAAAAGGGAAAGAGGAAAGACAGAGTAGACATGTTGTTATGGGCTTAAAAGTGTTGTTCTTTCTACTTTAGTACAGTAGTGGTAGGGCATACCTCTTTCACTCTGGCAGTTTTGTTAGTTAATGTTCCATTTTTTAAGGTTATATATGTGGTTCCAAACTTGCTTGTTACTTTTGACATAAAAAGATAATGATACTCAGAGTTGCAGAGAATTTAATATACCTTATTCCATGACTAGGACCACAGGTCATGTTCCTTATATCAACATTGAAACAACCAGCTCCAATTGAAATACAGTCATCACCTACAAGATAAAAGGCAAGTGCTTAGATAAAAGAATAAGAAGAAACAAGAATGAGTTATCAGAAACTTTCCAGGAATTTAATATTTTACCATTGTAGATTATTGAATTTTGTATAGTGACATCATTTGTATTCTCTATGTGAATTCCATCAGTATTGGGGCTCTGAGATGGTGCTTTAATGTAAAGTGAATCAATGTGAACATCATGGCAACTGTCAAATCTCAAATGGAACAATGGACTGTTCTTGATTTTAAGTCCTTGCACTGTCAAATTTGAGCTCATGAAAAACCTTATAGCCTGTAGAAAAATAAAGATTCAGTATTATCATACTCAAGCTTTTTTATGACTTGACCCTGAAAAAAAATACTACTCGCTCGGTTTCAAAAAGATTGTGTTAGTTTGACTTTGCACAAACTTTAATAAAGAAGGGAAGATTTTTGAAATATGTGGTGTTAAATAAACTTGCGGTTTGAAACCTGCCATAGCATTTCTGTGGGCATAAGTGCATCTTATTAAGGAAATATTGAAAGGTGCCAATCTTTTTGAAACAGACTAATAAAAAAATAATGTCAATCTTTTTGAAACAAAGCGAGTAGTAGTTTTTTGTCTAAAGGAACAAAATAGTGTGTTATTGAACTTACCACAGGGCTGTCACAAGGACCAGCTACAGTTGTTCCATTTATTCCCTGTTGCATTTAAGTTATTTACATTAGAAAGGAAGTTAATTTGGTCAGTGGAAAATTTTATAATTGGAAAAATGGGGTAAAGAAAATTACTTTGTGAGGTTTGCAAGGAAGATTCCACCATTTTTCACCTTTGCCATCTAGAAGTCCACCACCTTGCATTGACATTCCATCAATTCTGTAAAAGACTAACCATTGTCTTTTACTGACATTTTTTGGCCATGAATCAGGTCCATCTGGTGGCATAATAGTTCCTTCAATCTACACCATCAGCATAATTAGTCACTTCACCATCAGGTCCTTCAAAAGAATGTTACAAATATCCGAAAATATTGAAATAGTTTGTCACATTACCTGAAAAACTAGTCCACTTTTACAAGGACCAGTGAAGATTGTGGATTGAATCATGAAAGAATAGTGATAGGGAACTAGTACAATGGCTGAATCAACTTGACAAGCAGCATCCCACGCCATTTTAAACGCTTGTGTATCGTCGTTTACACCATCACCAACAGCACCATAAGATAACACATTGAAAATGGCTGCAGAATCATTTGAATTCTTACCATTGTTAGTGTTTGGTGCACCCTCAGGTGCAGGGGAAGGTGGCAATGAAATTTGTGACAATGCACGAAAACGGGGCACGTACGGGTAGTCATAAAGCCTACCATGAACTGAACAAACAAAGGAAAACAAGATAAAATGAAAAATCAAGAAGAAAATCTTAGTAAAGTCCATAATTTGTGTCTAGTTCTTAGGATGTTAATTAAAACAAAGAATTTATAGAACCAAAAAAGGAAGTGAAGGAAAACAATTTGGCTACTTGTTTTAGTAGACTCTGGCTAATACTAAGTCCTATGAGAATAATTTATGTCTATTTCATGTGACCACCACCAAAAAAGAACAAAAATGAAGTTGTATTATGTGACCACCACCAAAAAAAGAGTACTTGTAAACAAGTTGAAAGACTATGCAAGTAGTTCAGTTTGCTGCTGTTGATAATGAGTATGGTATTTACAAGTTCTCAAAGTGAATATCCCTTTTATACTAAGTGATTCTTAGTGGAAGAAGGGTTCTTTTGCATGGTCGGTATTATTTTAATCATATCAAAACCGACCAATTCCATTTGCAGAATGGTTTTTCTGGTTGAGGAAAAATGGAGGATATCCCTTGAACAAGAAGTATGTAACTCCAATATACTACTACTACTACAACAACAACAAACAACAACAAATGCAGTGTAATTTCACGAGTGGGGTTTGAGGAAGGTAATGTATACGCATACATTACCCCTACCTTGAGAAGTTATAGAGACTGTTTCCGCTAGAGCTTCGTATATTTAACATGTTGACAGTATAAAGAATGTACACTATTTGGTCACCTAAAAGATAACTACACCGTAACATACATAAGAAATGAAATTACCAACTTAACTATAAAAAGACAAGTTACCTACTACTCCCTCCGTTTCAATTTAAATGATTAGTCCCTTCCAAAAAGAATTACACATTTCTATATTTAGAAACAATTCAACTTTAAACTTTTTATTTTACCCACTTTACCCTTAATGAGAAGCTTTTATAGCCATACAAATATCATGGCCCCACAAAGCTTTTGTTACTTAAGCTTTTAGGACTACATATTTCAAAAGTCTTTTTTTTTCCCTTAAACTTTGTATCAAGTCAAACTACCTCATCTAAATTGAAACGGATGGAGTATTAAAATACACTTACAAGATAGTACTAATAGTTTTACGTTGGTTGTCAGTATATATAAGTTAAATCGGAACAAGAAAAGATAAGGGGTACTCGGAGCCGGTGTTGGGGGTGGGTAGGTATCATATAATCATAATAGTGAAAATCTAAAGAAGCCCACGTTTTCTTCCCATTACATCCCACTTTCTTTGGTCCCAAAACTGGTGAGACTGCCCAATAGGCAATTCTTCTTTCAGTTATTCTGATGGAACCTGCTATAGTTTAATATATGGTTATAAATCTTCCTCAGATAATGCTTCTTTTAGTTTTCAGTTAGGAGCACTATAGAAATTTGGATCACAATTTTTAGTGGTCATATAGCAAAAGGATTGCATTGGTGGGTAAATTTTCAAATTTGTCTGCTTGATTACAAAAAAGTAGTCTAATGCACTAAGCTCCCATTATGGGCGTAGTCTGGGAGGGTCGGACCACAAGTGTCTATTGTACGCAGTCTTACCCTGCATTTCTGCAAGAGGCTGTTTCCACGGCTTGAATCCGTGACCTCCTGGTCACATGACATACGCCAAGGCTCCCTTGTCTGCTTGATTAAACTAACTGAAATGACTAATGACTTATCTATCAGAATTTTCATATATAGTGCTATCTTTTGATCAGCTCCTTGTTAATTTTTCTAAGAAATTAATCTCTCGAGTCTTGACTTTAGTGGGAAAAAAAACTACTCTTATAATTTTCCAGAAATAACCTTTCACCTAGTTAAAAACTTCCTTACAGAGTTTCACTCCATTAGTTTTTTTCTTTCATTCTTTTAGGACCAGGGATTTAGGGCGTCCAACAAAATATAGTTTCACTAGGAGTAGATAAAAACTCCTTATAGCCATAGGACCACTTTTTGCTTCATATTAAATCCCATTATCTCAGATTGGCTTTATAAAGTCAAAAGAAAGCATTGTGTTGAATACTTGCAAGAAACAAATATTACAGAGCATGCTTTGATACATATTGTTTTGGAATTTTGTGCTGACATTACCTTATGCATACTTTGATTTTTGGTACTACAAATGGGAAGCTTTACTTTGTTGGAGTGGCGGAGATATTATTCTTTATGAAACAATTGAGATAAATAATGTTTTTTCATGGGATGATAAAGTTTGGTGGTCAAAATAAAGTGGGCATGGCATGACTCATTAGTAGAATATAACACTTATATTCATGCAAAATAAAACAAGACCTAAGTGCTTAATTAGAACTTTCCTAAGTTAGAAACGTGGGTTCACTTTTCAAGCGAATTAAAGACACCGTAAATTAACCAACCCCCACCTCAAACCACCCCGGAAAAAAAAAATTAAAAAAACTTAAGTGCTTAAACTAAATCCGGAACATTATTTAATTGGAGATAAATACCAAGACCTTAACTTCATACTTTTAGCTAATTTGATTATTAGCAATATTATCATCTCCAGAAAGAAGCAAATTACTCACAATATAGATGTGAGATTTGAACCATATGACATTAACGGTATTGAAGAACAAATAGAACGATTTAATTGTGATTTTAATATTAAATCTGGCTCAAGTGATTTAGTTTTTGCTAGAGTTGACTATCAGTGGCTCGAATGGTTTCTCGGACTATGAAGAAACATACACAAAGGAGATCGACTCATATTTATGCAATGAAGTTATTCATTGAGCTTCCGTGTTCTACTATCGTGATGTTTTGCATTCCGTTAGTTGCTAAGTATTTCGATTGTAAGAACGTAAGTTTTTCATTATTCAAAATGCTAAATTCCAAACTTGAAAATTAATATGTTGTTATTGTATTATGTCTTCGAAAATGTTTATTTTTTAAATCTAATAATTGAACTATATACTAACAAAAAATATAAAATACAACGCCCATTTGGGTCCGGTTTAAGGATTGAATCGGACTAGTCCAAACCACAATCAGCGTAGCGGGTCCAACATTCTTTTGAGTTATATGTATGATAAAATAACATAAAAAATTGTGTGGGGTAGCCACTTTTTAAAGTGGTATTTACTTTTTATCCAGTATTTTTACTGCTTAGCAATAGTAGCCACTAGTCTATTAAAATTAATATGAAAAGACTATGTTACCCTTTCTTCTATCTCTTTCATGTTAGGCAGAAGAACTGTGCCGGAAGGATTTTCTTCTTTTAGTGTTTCTTCGCGAAACTTAGATTGCACCTCTACTAACCGGCTTCAAACTACGCTAACTTGTTTCTCTCTCTTCTCCTCTAATCATATGAGTAATAATTCTCACCTCTTATCGTACCAGAAAAGCTGAAAATCCTCCCAAAGCTAGTCATCCCACATCTTCTTTAATTTCGGAAGCTACTGTTATAGTTTTATTTTCAAGAACGTAACCCCCCCCCCCCCCCTTTTTTTTTGTTATTAGCTTTCTGTTGTGTAATTTGACATCAATCTTATATGTAAATTATTATTATTTTTATTTTTTTGTGAAAAGATACAAATAACGTTTGGTTTTCTTCTACGTTATGGATCCTGAACTTACAGTTACAAGTTCAAAAGTTAAGGACACTTGGTCCTGAACTTCGAGTTCCAAGTTCAAAAGTTAAGGACACTTGGTTAGAATTACAAGTTCAAAAGTTAAGGACACTTGGTCCTGAACTTCGAGTTCCAAGTTCAAAAGTTAAGGACACTTGGTTAACAAGCTCAAAAGTTAAGGACAATAGGTCCTGAACTTACAGTTACAAGTTCAAAAGTTAAGGACAATAGGTCCTGAAGTCCTCAACTTAGACTAACAAGCTTAAAGAAATTTAAAAAATAGCCAGATTTACAACTGGTCGTTCAAAAATAGCCCAATTCCAAAAGTAATCGAAATTTAGCCACTTTTATGTAAAGATAAATCTGAGCGAAAACACTGTTCAAAACCCGAAAAAATACTCCAACATATTATGCTGGAGTTCCAGCATAAGTATACTTGAACTCCAGCATATTATACTGGAGTTCGAGGATAGCATGCTGGAACTCCAGCATAATATGATGGAGTTCCAACATAAATACACTAGAACTCCAGCATAATATACTGGAGTTCCAGCAAGTATATTGGTCCAGTATATTACACTGGAGCCAGCAAAGTATACCGGTCCAGCATAATATGCTGGAGTTCATACACAAGTGCACCGAACTCCAGTATATTATGCTGGACCGGTCTCTATTGCAGCAAAACGGTGGCTATTTTTCATTGACTTGGCAAACGTTGGCTATTTTTGATTGACCAGTCCGAAAACTGGCTATACCGTGCTATTTGGGTAAATTTTAAAAATAGCCAAATTTACAACTGCTCGTTCAAAAATAGCTCAATTTCAAAAGTAATCGAAATTTAGCCACTTTTTATATAAAGATAAATCTGAGCGAAAATACTGTTCAAAACCCGAAAAATACTCCAGTATATTATGCTGGAGTTCCAGTATATTATGCTGGGGTTGTATACTTGAACTCCAGCATATTATATTGGAGTTCCAGAATAAGTATGCTGGAACTCCAGCATAATATGATGGAGTTCCAGCATAAGTACACTAGAACTCCAGCATAATATACTGGAGTTCCAGCAAGTATATTGGTGCAGTATAATATACTGGAGTTTAGAGCACCGATGCTCCAGTCTCCAGTATATTATACTGGAGCCAGCAAAGTATACCGGTCCAGCATAATATGCTGGAGTTCATACACAAGTGCACCGAACTCCAGTATATTATGCTGGACCGGTCTCTATTGCAACAAAATAGTGACTATTTTTCATTGACTTAGTAAATGCTGGCTATTTTTGATTGACCAGTCCGAAAACTGGCTATACTGTGCTATTTTTACTGTACGAAAGGGCTGGATTCACCCCTGCTTTTGTGAGTTTTGTGAAATGGGAAAAGGGAAGGGGCTTTGTAAAAATGAAAGTAACAAAATGTTGTAAGAAAAGGGTTTTCACATGATCAAGCCATCACCAAAATTTGTTTAAAGGCATGTTCGGTCATCTATTCCAATTTTATTTTTGAAAACTATGAATCGTTACTTTTGAAAAAAAATTCCCCCTAAATTGGTGACTCCTACTGATTTGTTAACCAAAGTCTAAATCAAAGGTTTAGTTGGACAAGGATAATGTCTTAGGCACCCCTAAATCTGATGCCCGGAGACAATCTTGAATGTATGATGATGCTAGGGGAAAGTACACAAACAACCATTTTTAGGGATGCTATTAAAGGATTAATCAATATTTATTTAGTTTTGAAATTTTAAAATCAGGACATTTGA